GTGTTCCTGATTTAAGCTTTTCCTAAAATGTTGATATAACCTAGATTTTTAGGTGTTTTTTCGAATGAGCTATCAAAAAATATAGAGTCCCGTGCAAAATTTGAGGGTTTTGCCCTGTTGAAGCTCAAAACGCGTATGGTTCTTCAATAAAATGTTGTAGATTTTTCAGCGGTTTTTGAGCGCGCGCTCATCGTGGGCTCAATTCGAACGTTCAAAAGTAGGCAGCCACCTTAATGATTGACAATTATTACTAACTTACGATTGTGGTAGTTTTTGTTCCCCTTTACTCAAAAAATCTAAATTTAACTCCACACTTTTATATTTAATTCTGAGAGTGAAATGTTTACAATATTGAAAGGTAAATGTTAAATGATACTGTATTTTTTATGGAAAAATTACCATTCACACATTTTAAACTATAATTTAAGAGATCGTGTTTTTTAAAGCTCATCTTTTAACTTGCAAATTTTTGATTTGGTTAGTTTTTTTTTCAAGAAAAATTTCGGAAATTTTTTTTGGATTTAAGTGCAAGATTAAGTTTAGTAGAATTGACATATTTCTTACTGATAACATGATTATATTGGTCCGTATGTGTCACTAAAATAACATCATTAATAGTGTTGTATATCCCACTGGATTAGTTGGCTTTCACAATGTTTTTATTTTTTTGCATAACAAGGTTAACACAAAATCTAACCCTTGTAAAAGAAATCAATTTTTTTCACTGAAACATTTTACTTGTATACTGTTTGTTTTCATTTTTTGAAATTAATTTCTGTATAGAGTTCTTTAGGATTTAGYATACATATGTTCTGTACATTAATGTTGAATTTCTTGGCTTTCTTGCTAATAGCCATCGTTTGGGTGATACATGAATAACTTGAATTAATTTAAGTAAACAGAGACATCCAACCAAGGCTTTGGGTTTTTAATCCTTAATCAAATAGAATTGTATTTGTGGTTGTGTAGAGCCTTGTTGTTGTAAAGTTTTCTTTCCTTGGTAGTTTTTACTGTATATTGTAAGGTTATAGAATGAAGTGTGAATAATGTACTCAGATATAATGGGCTTATCAAAACATGATTGATAATTATGATTCTGTTTTCACAATTCTTTTACAGAATCTGGCACATTCAGAGTATGGTAAGTACATATTTTTGATTCACAATCCTTTGTTTAACTACGAGATCTAACACCTCTATCTCATTTGGTGGGTTTTGAGTTTTATGTGTTCAAAATTCAATAAAATATATGAACAGGCAATGGCTCATTCAGGCTTGATTGTTTGTTAATATTGACCAATGCAATGACATTTCCCCAGCAAAACAATACCTTTTCAATATCCTCACATGTTGTAAAAAGATCCTTCCTATTTCTTTCTGCAAAGTGTTATTTTGAACATCCTCACTATCCTCTAAAGACTACACAAAAAGTATATCTCAGGTTATCTTATAAACTTGAGGATTCCATGATTTGGTTTTGTTTTCCAGTGCTTTTTTCTCTTGCTATGGAGTTTAATATATTGCTAGCTCTTTCTTCATGTATTTAGGCTTATGTAATGTAAACAATGCCCTGTGTAAACTCTGTTCGATTGAAAACTCTGTTCATCAAAAATCTATTATTTTYGCTTTTATTTGAACAGTTCTTTACAAATTTTATTTCACAAAAACTTGCTTTATTCATGCAGCTTTAAAATTATACAGCTCAATATATTTATAGCTAACTAGATTTTCTGACCTTGACATCTTAAAGAATTTAGCCCACTCGTTTTTGATAAGAGCAAATGTGTAGATCTCTCTGATGGTTTGGGAAATTATCAAAATTTCCTTAATGTGCAGAAATAGGCAGTAATCTGACCACCTAGTCTGGCTACAGCCTTTTGACTTAATCAAGAGACTTGAGAATCTTGGATAATGGTTGAGGGGGAAAAGAATGGTTTGAAAGGGATGATAGTGTTAAGCTCCTTTGCTTTTAACATGAGTTATTTGTTATGTATGTGTGTAATCAATCCTAGCACTTCCTTGCACCTCAGGGGATATTAGTTGAAGTCATGATGGCGGGAATAAAAACAGTGTGTATACTTAGCCATTGAGATTTGTAAATTAAAAACTAACAAGGTAGGAATATTAGATGTCTGAGATTTGATAGAAAGACTAAAAGATTTGAGAGGTTTTTATCCCTTCCCCATGTGTTCCATATTGCTGACAAAGCCACCATACTGTACACATGACATTGATATCAATTATTCATGTTTATTAATTGATTATTTAAACTTCCTTACAAAGAAATACCACAGCGTTGTTAAGAGACAAATGATTTGATGTTCATCTTGTATTGCTTCGTTTCAGTTCCTTCCAGTCCATCTAATCTCAATGTCAGTGCAAGTGTTTGTTCCAGTACCCAGAGTATCCACAGCCTTAGTAGCATGCCTGGTGATACTTCTGGCATTGATGGACGTGTGGCTTGCTGGGCTCTTGGTTTTGACAAACTTATGGAAGATCCTGTTGGTCTAAAGTGCTTTGAGGTGATTCAATCTTATCATTAGCATCATAGCGCCCTACATTCTGCTAGAATCATAACTTTTCCTTCTACTGATACTAATATCGCATTGCAAAAAATTAAATCTTAAACAAAATAAGGCTATTTTTTTCAATTATTTAGGAATTCCTGAAGAAAGAGTTTAGTGAGGAAAACATTGTATTTTGGATGGCATGTGAAGACTTCAGGAACATCACCAATGAGAAGGAGGTAAATCTTTGATTTTAAATATACTATGATATATTTCACCCTGAGTTCAATATTGTGTAATAAACGAATGTAACCATAATTTATGGTATACAAATCATTGAGGCTTCCGTACTGCATTGTCCAAGTTGTCATGCCAGCCATAATGACTACAATATGTCATCTTGGATGTGATATCTTCACAGCACATGTAAATTTATAACATTCGTAGATATTTCAGAGATTAGTATCATGAACAAGTCAATGATAAGTTTATGGACTAAGGAATGATTAATTGTATTCAGTACTGACCTGTCATAATTAGTGGATATATATATTATTCCTACCCAGCACTTTCAAATATTGAACGTTAATACTATGAGATTGTCATATATTAACTTAGAGTTAAAGATATAAGAAAATCAGAATTTTTAATCACTTTTGGAAACAGATTTCAAACAAAGTTATGTTCTATTTTATTTTTCCCCAGCAAAAAAGCACGGCAATCAGCATATTTGATGCTCATTTGAGTTCTAATGCAACAATGCCTGTAAATATTGATAGTTCTGCTGTTAAACTTGCTGAGGAGCATTTAGCCAACCCTACCAATGATATGTACAGACTGCAACAACAACAGGTTAGTCTGCTGACTTGAGTATGCATGACCTCTGGTGGAAACTGACATGTTGTGTGATATTCGGACACACATACACACACACACACACACACAGAAAGTCAGTGAGAAAGAGAAAACAAAAAGAAGAATTGAGACAAAGAGAAATAGGCAAGGTAACAGCAAACTATGTTGTTATGTGATTCACATTTTCGTTCAGGTTTCTACAGAATAATTTTGCAATACTTGTGTATAATGAAGAGGTTCAGTTACAAAGATCATGTTACAGATTATGGCGTTAAATAGATGATGTGTGAGTGTTCTGATGTGTCATTCTGTACACATATAGGTATATACCCTGATGAAGTTTGACAGCTATCCAAGATTCCTCAAATCAGACTTGTACAGAAAATGTTTAGTATCAGAAATGGAGGGATCACCACTACCTTTCGATGATGGGAAACCTGATAAAGGAAAACTTCTTAAAAAGGTACTTTCAAAAGTATTGTCTGATGGTTTGCTCTCCACGCGGTGTGGGACCACGCCCTGCCTGACCATCACGTGGTGCCACGCCCCTTCAATAGATGACCCTAGATGGTTATCTTTGATAAGTGAACAAAGGATTAGATAGCGAGAGTTAATAAGATAATTTGATCAATTCGTATGACTTTAGTCTTTGCCTATTTGACCACCAAACAGCGGAATCTTAGAGAAATCAAAGTTTGTCGCTAAACTTTTATTTGACGGTGATATTATAATTAGGAGTTAAAATTTATTCCTTAGATATTAAAGTCATTGACTGTCTAAAACCGGCGTTAATCATATTTGAAAGAAAATTAATTGACTACTTTAAAACATCGTCACGTTTAATTCTTAATGATAATTAGCTTTTCACTTAACAGAATCTACCGTTCCCTTTGCAATAAATAACAATGAATAAAAAATATATCACTTTTAACACCACTTGCAGCTGAGCAAGGTAAAACACTCTAAATCTAAACCTAAATTCGAATACTGCATTAAACTCCTTTGTGGGATAAGTATTGCGAATGTTGATGGGGGATACTGGCGAAGACAGGTTACCCAGCTGTACTTGATTAACTGTGTTGATCTATCACGTGGTAACGTTTCCAGGCCAACTGTCTGTACTTGTCGTCAGAAGAATCAGAATGTTCGAGTATTAGCAGTCGAGGCAGCTACACTTTTGAGACCAAGGTAAATCGATAACACATACAACAATAACTAGTTTAAATAAGATAACTCTAACTTCAAGTTAAATCTGTTATATATAAATACAATATTAACGAAGGAATTATAAATTACGTATGTGTACGTAAGAGAATAAGAGAATAATAATGAAAAAATAATAAAAATAAAGTTCTTAAATGTTAAATCGTCAATTGTGGATTCCATTGAAGTGAGTTGTTTTGCGAGGGCGTGGCGTCGTGACATGGTTTCAGCAGTGATCTAGTCTTGAAGACAGTCGCTTCTATTGATGCTGTTTGGAAACGCTGTACACTGTTCGGCATTGTGCATCACAGAGAAAGACCTAACGAGGTTGGGCTTCCTGTGTACAGTGTTTTTTCCCGCGATTCTAACCAAGCTAGGTATTCACGGATATTGGGGTTTTCCCTTCTGATGCATGTCCTACAAACAGTGTCGGACCCTGATCTTCCTCGAATCGCGGGTATTTTTCATGTCTTTTCTTTCTCATCTTAGTATTTTATCCAAATTCAGCGTTCAACACGTGGTTGGGGAAGACGAAGCTCCAAGAAAAGTACAAGCTCGTACGACGAGAACAGAACGCCAGGAGAAAAGAAGAAGTCCTTCTTACCCTGGAAAGGCGAGCACTACATTTGTATGAGAATGAATGGAAGGAAAGGGAAAAGAAGGAAAAGGAAATGATAGATTGCAGAAGAGAATAAAATGCAAGAGGACGGAAGGGATAGTAGGAGTGAAAGCGGATACACGACTTCAGGTCCACGGCCCTAGTAACTCTGCTAGTATTGAACCAAACGTCTCATAGTGAAAACACGACTTCAGGTCCACGGCCTTAGTAGCTCTGCTAGTATTGAACCAAACGTCTCATAGTGAAAACTGCTTTCTACTAATGTCATTCTTGTACTTTTCTTTCTTTTGTAGGCAAACAAGCTAAGAAAGGTGTGTACTCACGCGTAGGTGCATTGTAGTGTTGTGAATATATCATAAAATGTCTTTTACACTTCAAAGTTTTAATCCTTTTTAAGTTAAGGCTTAAATAGGGATTGACTCGTTTTCTATGTCCTCAACAGGAGCCAATCGCCCATTCGACAGCCAACCCAGCAGCGCTCGAAGTTCTTTATCATCGTTATCAGATTCATTTCCAAGCATGAGCTATTCCACCGAGGTACATGTGACAAGTGTCTTGAATCGCTTCCGCTCTTGAGCAATGTGGTTGGATGATATGGTTTCCCGGTCTTTGATTGGCATGGAAGCCATTTGAAAGTCAGGGTAGAATTTTACAACAGCTTTTTCCTGTTCACCTTTTTCATTAACCTTTTCCGCAATGTTTCTTACGGGTTGTAGTTCGTGCGGAAGCTAGTACTAACCAGATTGTTATCAGTGTCTACATGCTCGCCTACAGTTATTATATTGAAAGTTAACCTGCTATCTCTCCCTGTTTTTCCCTGCAGTCCCTGGAAGGTCGGCGAGAGAGTGAGGTGTTCCAGTTTTGTCGTATCGTGTTACCAGATCACTCGTCTACCATCGTCACAGGCAAACAAGGACAAACGCTGCGTCAAACCCTAATGCAGCTGTGTGAACGAAGACACATGTCTTTCGTTAGTACAGACGTGTTTATTGGTGGAGCAGACAAGGTGAGGATCACGTGGAAAGCAACTAATATGGAAATCGCGGTCTTACATTCTCCGTACAGGAAATTCCGTTTTCGTGACCAATGATAGTTAGCATTTGGAATTGCTGCAAGTCATTTATCGCTGGAAATGTAACCAGCAGACCAGGAATTACCGCCTCTCCCGCCCCCTCCCCCTCTATTAGTAAAGCAAAGCGATCGTGCGCCTCTCTTATACATAGTGCTAATCATCCTGATATATGGTACTGATCAACAGCCGGCATTGCTCAAAGAAGTGGATGTAGACATACAATCCATGGCGGGCAAAGAAGTCATACTGGAACATAGATCTTTATTCAGGTGAGGCAAGAGACTTAAATGAACTAGTTCATCTTTTTTTGAGTGACGCTTTTTGTTTATACTCGGTAAAGATTGAGCTATTGCGCGTTTGGCACGTGTAAGGCTTGTAACCTTCGATCGTAAAATCCCCTGGTATCATGTGAACATTAAAGACTCAGTTTATTGACATGGATTGTTTTTTTGTTGTTGTTTTTGTTTGGATCAGACTTGAGATGTCACCAGGCAATTTTCTGATAGTCAAATCAAAGCCAGATGAATCTTTGCGCATGTGCCTGGAACCCATCCTGAATCGAAATGGTTTGAACTATTCTAGTGTTTCTGTTCACTTGGTGAGTACAGTGTGTTAGCGGTAGTGATAATCATTATTTGATAATATGTTTCTTATAATGTGCAGTACTGTAGTGTACTCGCCTCTTACCTATGGGGCCTCGGGTTTGATTCCAAGACTCGGCATCACACGTGAGTAGAGTTTGTTAGGTATTTCCCTTGATTCGTGGGTTTTCTCCACTTTTTCTCCCTCCGCAAGACCCAACACGTTAAATTCCAATTCCATCTGTGGACTAGCGTGCTCTAACTTTTATCAACCCAGAAGTTATTTTAATTAGGGTTCGATAAAATTTGAAAAGATTTTTCCCCCCGATTTTTTGAAATGTTTTTCATCAAAATATTTTTTCACCAATTGTTTTTTCTTTTCCTTGGTTGAAGAGGAAAACCATTTAAGTGTTACTCACTAACTAACCTTTAGCATGTTGTGTTTGTACACCAGGTGGATTGTGAAGTACCCTTGGACAGCGGTGTACCTATAGCATCTATAGAACATCAGTGGGTTGTAGTAGACAAAATAGATCCCTTATCAGGTCAGTCAGTCACTAGTCACGTGATCGGCCTACCACCACGTGATCATCTTAAAAGGCCGATTTACAAGATACAACTTTTGCTCACAACTGTCGCATGCAATCTGCTTACGCTGTGATTATAACGCGAATTGCGTCATGTAAATCAATCCTTCAACTTGATCACATCTGTTGTGTACGACATAAAAAAAAGTTGTAGGATTTATAAACATTTTTTAAAACCTTGGGACAATCGTAGCCGAAAACAATAAAAGTGACAAGCAAACCGAGAGAATTGCACACGGTTTTATGGTGTCGTAAGCTAAGAGTTGCGCGCGTTGAAATAACTGCTAAGACATGTCTTAAGTCTGTTGTGTGCCACAGTCGTAGAGAAAAGTTGTACCGTGCAAATCGGCCTTAGAAAAATACCATCTGTTTTGGTCATGTTTTGAAAGACGTCTAGTACGTAGGGGACTTGAACAAGTAATGGTTTATCTGATGAACCAAATGCTTTGAACCCACCAACTCGTTTAAGAGATTCTATTCACTTTAGTTTCGAGTGTTCATCATTAGTTCTTAATATCCTTATCATCTGCGGGTTTCCTACTCAAACATGGCTGATCATGCTATCTGACTTAAGCTTATCTTTCTTGATTTAACTCGATTAACTTTTTAGTATTTCATTTCTTTCGCTTAGCTTTAATTATGCTCGTTAGTTACTGTGTTCCAGTATTACTTTATTAAATCACACACCTAACCATGTCCCAGCTGTACAGGTCTGAAACCTGTTTCTGAATCTATCGTTAAGCATGTTGCTGGTATTCAGTTCCCACAGGCTAGTAGTAATACTTCATACTGTATGTAACATCACCAGGTGTTCTTTATCAGCTCTCTCTCTCTCGTCATTCCTTCCTTTCTCTCTCGATACTATAGTTATCTATGTCGGTCTTGTTTCTATATTCATGATAACCAAATGAGTAGACTAATCTCATTGACTAGGTCGGTACATGGTATAGCTACCTGTATACTGAGACCAGCCATCACTCATGATTACACTGCTTTAAGTACACGCATCTGCCGATTGCAAGCGGCTTTTCTTTGTGTCATTTATCTTGTTATACAAGTAAATAAGTCATACCAGGGATACATTGTTAGTCCTGGTACATCTTAGTCATACTCTATTTATTTGTATCAGTATCTTTTAGTTTGGACAATATTCCGAGATAAAGAAAAGAGTTTCAGGTGCACTCTAGGATGTACTCTTGAGTTGAGACGACTTTCTGAAACACAAACGCAAGGAAGCGCAAAGGAAGGCTGATGAACGGTGTTCCTGTAACTTTATTCTCATCACTTTTTTTATATATTCTACTAAAGACCAAAAAAAAAAAAAAATTTTTTTTTTAAAGGTTTAAATCGAAATATGGAGATTCGAGTGCTTGCGAGTATTCTTTTATGCGATCTCTTTTCAGTCATGCACTAGGGAGGGTGGGGTGGGCCGAGTGTGGGGGAGGGGTGGGGGAGAAGATTAAACAGATGAATACACATGTAGACTTCAGTAGACAGTAGACTTCAGGAAATACTTTTACAATGAGATAATTTTCTAATATGGTAATGAGTACTACTGATACCCTTGCGTTACTTGATGCCCTTGCATTACTTGATGATTTGAGCCCGATTCAGTCATAACAGTAGGAATCTGCTTCTCTGAGTTCAACTCTCTTGACTACTGATTGCTTGCAGTTTTTTTTTTTTTTTTGAAAGACGAGTCGTAAGCCACGAGATTACAAACTTCATAAACTTTATTTTCATCTGTAAATTGATAAATGTCATGTTTTGTAATTTAGTAATAATATATTTGATTGGAGTTCTTTATTACTACAGCACGTGTTGTGGCTGTACCTGACCATTAAAGTAAAGTGTACGGGATTTCTCAATAATATCGTATCAAAAAGAAACCACTGCCATAGTTGAGTACGCAAATCCTTTTTATTCTTGCACTATTGAATCTGGTAATGATCTGGTCAACTAAAATAAGGATTATCTATAGTTATTATTATAGTTATTGCTCTGTTTACAATTGTTGTTACTTATGGGAAAATGATTCACAAGGTGAAATACACAACAAAGTAATCAGTTGTGCTACAGATTAAAAGAAATACAATAAGGTTGAGGACTTACCAACGTTGGCGGGTCAGTYAAAACAATTACATAAAGATATTAATCCCGAAAGTTCGTCTTACTTCAAACGAGTGTTACACTATACTGAATTAAAAGGGTAGAACGCTAAGAGATTAAGTTAATCTCTTGTCAATCAAATAATTGCTGAATACGCTGATTACTATGGAAACAGCTACATAAAGTGAAGTTACTAACGTAGTTAAAGTCAAAATCAGTCATTAGTAAAAAAAACCTGTTGCTTTGAGGAAGCCGGCTCGTTAGGGGGTTTGTTTTCAATATTGCCTTTTCTTCGTTAATTAAAAAAGAAAATACGACCACAAGACATAATAATAAAATGAAGAATGAATCAAGAACATTCATTTTTATTGCCTGGCAGTAATCTTTCCTTTATTCACAGTAAACATCTGTCAGTATGACGAAAATCAAGATCGTTCTTGTAACTCCTTTGTTCTTTTTCAGTGACATTTGTAATAATACTCAGAACTTGAAGGTTTCTTTGTTTATGTTGGATACAAAGCCACCCGTCAAATTCAAACACAGTAATTTTGTCTCCATCACAATCCAACTACTTCAATTCACATTTCTATGTCAAATACATCGATAATATTCAGACTAAACTACGAAAATTAATGTACATTTATTTGTATGTTTTCCGTACGAGTATTATCAAACAATAAGCGAGCTGTAAATGTGGTGCCAAAGGTCTTGATATCAATCATCCCTAGTATTAATGAGCGAGGGGCCAGTACCATAAAGTGACGTAGTGTTGTATATAAATGTATTGTAGACGCGCTAGCTAGTCAGTTGTGGCGTCACAGCCTGTTGAGCTACTGTACTCTCTCGTAATGGACCAAACTTTACCCTGAACGAGAAAAGATTATTCGTTTTTAGCTGTTTACTGGTAACAATATGCTCAAGTTTGCTGTCTATGGTAAGCCAGTGTTTTTTCTTTCGCACTATAAGTTTCGTTTTTTTAATTCGGCTTTAAAAATTTGCTAAAGCTAATATACAAAATCGTAAACTTGTTTTTCCTTTAAACTTATTTATTTCCTTCTTTCTAAATCATTGTTTCGTGTCTAATGCTAGTTGCTTTTCCTTTAAATTTCCTTTAGCTTTTTCTTTTAGTAGATATGAAATGACAGTTCTGCGCCACTCGAGTGAGGTACCATTGAGGTACCATTGAGGTACCCCCCTCCCCCTCCCCCTCAGGGTCTTTACAGAGATGATGTTATAGCTATTCTTATGTTTTTAGTTGACTGGATTGCACCACATCCTATATTTTACGTCAAAG